TTATTTAGCTGATGTGAAGTGTGATAAAAGTTTTGAMTCTCTGAACTAGTATTCATATTAATGCACCAGAACATATCTGTGCTGTGTTCCAGATTTCCTTCTGATATTGCCTTCAAAATGAGTATCATGTCTCCTTATATTTCTCTGCTTCCTGATGGATATTTTCTGGTTTGCCAGAAGGTGTTTAATTATAAACTAAGCCTATGTAAGTATTTGATCCAAACTCACAAACGTTATTTTGATTTTTTGATCTAATCCTTTGTGTGGCTTTTACTTATAGAAACTGTAATATGCCTATTTTAGTAATTTAAAACTTTTTAGATACTTTACATTTCTCTTTCAGGGTTGCCTGCCAAATTTTTTGGGTAGTGCAGCAATAATTCCTCACTGTTACTGATGTGGCTTCTCTGTTGTTCACACACAAGTTGCATGTGCATGTTTGTATTTTCATATTTGTGTTTCCCTGTGTACCAGAGTCTCTCACATCTGTCTTGGAAGGTAACTTGGGAACACACAGTTATCAATCTGTGCGCAACAATTTTTATTAATCCAAGAGTCCAAACTGCTGCTGCTTTGTCAGAATCTGTTGATCTGTTGTAAAATGAATAAGCAGATTTAATTAGGAGAGTTGGAAAGAGTGTTACTTGAGAGAAAGAAGCATTCTGGTGCATGATGTTAATGCAGGTGTTTTGTGCATAACTTTTGACCAAATGATTCCTGCYTTGATACCTGGGGGATGCACWGCTGTTTGTGTGTTTRGGGKAAGAACTRTAGGGTCATTGCTTATCTGCAGYTGGCYRGGGGGTTGCAGCCATTCATTTCCTGATGGAGGTTTTATGATCTGGTYGTTTGCAGGTTTCACTGCTCCAATGTCCCCATCCTCTATTTGAAGAGGAAGTAGGAAAGTTCCTGCTGACAGTCAAAGCATAAAWAATGTCATGGCCCACTGGGGTTACCTTGTTCTCAAGTCTCAGTAAGGGCTTTAAGTTCCTTTCTTGATAYAGTCTTGATTCTTTGTCTGGAATTTAGTTATTTAACAGTCTGACTTTTATCTCAAATMTCTGTGAAATGAGATTTGTTGGAAAACATGCACAGCTTGAACTTTAGTCAAAAGCCTGCATTTATGGAACGCATTCCCTTTCATGGTCACCCACAGAGCAAACATCTAGAAATGCTTTGCAGACAATTGATTTACTTAATCCTTTTTTAAGTTTTGTTTTGGAACTCAGKTTTTAAGAACTAATGTTGTAACACATTAGTTATTTTTTGTGATAACTGTATTATTGATACCTGCAGAAATACGTATTCCATTTCTTGTGTTAGCCTTGACTTTTTCTGACTAATTAAATTCACTGCATGTTGCATCCCTTCCATAGAAAGTCAGGTGTGAGCAGTTCCCATGTTTGCTTTCATCAGAGGATTATGGCAGACAGGAGTGAATCAGTTCTACACTTGACCAGTAACTCAGTAACCAGCACTGAATTACTTTCTTAAATAAAATCCTGACCTTTAAAAGGTCTCATCAAATGTTATGTGTTTTGAGTGCATGTCTCCCCTCCAAGTAAAGCAGTAGGAATGGCAAACTGATAGATATTCTGGACCAGGTACAGATCTGATTGATTTAGTTGGTGTACAGTTCTTTGAACTTTTTTGCATTGGGACCTTGTGATACTATTGAAGGTCTTTTCTCATGGAACTTTTTGACTCTCTTAAT